CACTTGAACATAGAGGTTTTGAATACTAGAAGCCAATGAATCTTGAAATACATTTTGAGAGTTTATATTCCAAGGATTTCCAAATAATATAGCTTGGGTATAAGGGCAGTTTAAAAATAAATGGGCTATAGTTTCTACCTCCATCTCATAAAGACCACAATTTTTTTTATTATTTTCTAAACAGATATTCTCTTTTACAGGGACAAAAATAATTTAGAATTCTCCATAAGAAAAGTTTAAATCGTAGGGAAATATTTAACTTCCAAGCTTTTTGACACAAAAATTAAGATTTGGAGAGAATTGTGAGTATGAGGTATTCAGTTTGATCATGTATTCTCTTTTTGTGGTAAATTTACCAGAGATATGAGGAAACCATATCCATGAAGTAGAATTGGAATTTAGAAAATTGGGGGTCTCCAAATTTGATTAGCCTCAATCGGGGAAAATAAAGTATTTATGACTTCAACATTTCAATGACCATTTTGGATTAATTGGGAAATAGATACCTATCTAAGATGAGGGTTTAAGGGAAATGATACCCACGACAATTTGTTATTCTTTTGAATCCAAGGTCTTTGTTCTATTGGAAATGAGGAATTTTCATTTACTAGAGCTCCATATTCAGAAGCTAGATCAGTAAGCACAGGTCCTATGTCTTTCCAAAAAATAGACCCTATAGAGATAACAGAATAAGGAAAGAAATTATGACCTTTGAGGTATTTTGATTTCTAGATTTGTGCCAAAATTTATGTTGTTCATTAAGGAATTTCCAAGCCACTTTCTTAAGGAGGCTTTGATTAACCAGGGTTAGATTCTTGAATTCCAATCCTCCTAATGATTTAGGAAGGATTAACTTATTCCAAGCACACCATCGGTAGGGATGGGTTCTTTCTTTAAAAACTCCCCACCATAATTTTTTAATTAAGTTCTCCATTTGGTCAATAGTTTTTTGGAGAAACTTGATTAGGGACATAGCATGTATAGGAATTGCTTGGAGTACAAATTATAATAACACTTGTTTCCCTGCTTGACTGATAGTTGTAGCTTTCCAATTATTCAGTTTTTCTTTTACATTATCTAGAATAAAACTTAGTTGAGCATGTTTATTCCTAGACCAAAAAAGGGGCAAACCAAGGTGTTTAGAATTCTTTGGCATGGGGCCCATTTTTAATTGTCTTCTTATTAACCTTTGGAGTCTTGGGTGGATACTTTTACTACAAAGAACCCCTGATTTATCCATGTTAATCATTTGCCCAGAAACATTCTGAAAGGAATTTAGAATTTGGAGGAGGTTATCTATCTCTTCCCTATGAGCTCTTATAAAAATCATTATATCATCATCAAGGAACAGGTGGGAGATTTTAGGGGAAGATGAGGAGATAGGAATGCCTTGAATCTTTCTCTCAGATTCAGCCTGATAGAAAAGTCTAGAAAGACCCTCCATGGCTAAGATGAAAAGGTAGGGAGATAGAGGATTTCCTTGTCTCAAACCTATAGAAGGGTAGAAATGTCCTTCAGAAGTGCCATTGATAAGGAGAGAGAAGGAAACAATGGAAATTCATTCCTTTATTAGATGATAGAAATCCTTAGAGAATTCAAGAAGGGAAAGGATTTGAAGAAAATTTTCTATTCTAATCTATCATAAGCTTTAGACATGTCAAGTTTTAGCCCAATGTATCCTTTACCTCTCTTTTTGTGTTTCAAGAAATAAAACATTATTGAATTCTCAAACACTTATCTTCCCGGGACAAAAGCCATCTAGTTGGGTGAAACACATTTATCTAAAATAGTATGAAGGTGATTCACTATCACTTTTGTTATAATTTTATAAGTGACATTACAAAGGTTGATTGGGCGATAGTTTTGAACCTTCTAATTGCAACCAAGTCTGGCGTAAGGTTTGTCTCCAGAAACTTTCTAATTGCATGTTTGTTTGTTCATATTCTTTGTACAGGCTATTGAAATCAATAAAAACTTCTTGCTGTTCAGCCTATAAGATTTGAACCTCCAATTCCTTGAGTTTAACTCTAGACTCTGTAAAGGATGATTTCCTCCAACTAATAAGATTATGCTTCAGAGTCCAATTTTTTTTGTTACTCTATAAGCTGCATAGCCTGTGATAGAAAGATTCCACCCATCTTCTATTATTTGCTTATAGGTACTATCAGCTAACCACATCTCAAAGAAACGAAAATGTTTTGGGAGGTTAATTAAGGAAGGGAATAAATTGAGAATTAGGGAATGATGATCCAACCCCCATTTGGTTCCCAAAGAAAGAGTTGCATTAGGAAAAACAACCAACCAAGTGGGAGAGGTTACTTCCCTATCAAGAGTTCTTTAAATATGAATGGTCCTTCTTTTATTGGTCCAAGTAACTCCACCTCCTTGAATGTTCATTTCTATCAGGTTCTGATCTAGAATAAAATTTCTATATTGTCTAGAAGATAATCTAGAGACATTAGAAGAGGTTGAAGGCTCAAGGGAATCCACTGATGCTGCTTCATTAAAGTCACCAATTAATAAAAATGGCAGAGAAACTTCCTGAAAATATGAATTAAGGTCTAGCCAAAATTTGTTTCTTTGATGCTATATTGATGGACCATAAATGAAACCTAAGATCCAAGTGCAAGTAGAATCTCGAATATTAAGAAACACATACTTTGCAGAAAACGACAAAACAGTAACTTGAAAACCCTTTTTCCAAAGGACAACTAAGCCGCTTGTTTTTCTTTTAGGATTGATGGTAATAGTTAGGATATCACAGAGTATTGGTTAAATAATTAATTTTGTCTTCTGGGATCTTTGTCTTGCATAGGAATATAAAATTAGGGTTGATGTGTTGGACAAAATCCCTGAGTCCTTGAACTGCCTTGGGGTGCCCAACCCCAATGACTGTTCCAACTGAAGATAATCATTGATGGGGGTGGGGCTGATTAGGGCCAGCCTCCTCCGCCCATAGACTGATACAATAAAAGAAGCTAGTAAAAACTGATCCTCTAAATCCTAATTGGGATCATTGCTTTCCACCAGATCAATAGTGAGAATACACTCACTGTTACTAATATTAGGGGGAGAGTCATGCCTATCATACGTAGGAAGATCTAGGGATGTATGGTCGATTTGCAAATTTGACCTTAAATCCAAACGAGGTCTTTTACCTCAAAACTGGGAGGATGGACCTGGAGTGTCTCCGAAGAGGCGGTTCACCAACTTTTGAGTAGTAGCCACCAACTGGAAAGTTTCTGCAGAAACTCGAACAGTATGAGGGGCCGAAGTTGAAGGTGCCAGTAGATTTGATGAAAACAGTGGAAGAGAGGAAGTGGTAGGCTGGTGTTGTTGATTAGTTGAGGGAGGGGTTACTTCATTTGGAGGGTTTTCAGGAGACGGGGGGGGCGGGGGTGTTGGGAGGAAGATCAACAATGTTCACAAATTTTGGACGTTTCCAAGACCGCCTCAGAGCTAGTTCTGCCCTCAGCCAAGGGCCTAGAAGGTTCATGGTTCGGTGGCTAAAATACTAATCAAAAGAACGACCTTCAGTATTTGGGAGTGACTGGGAGCAACGATGAAACTGATGACCAATTTTACCACAAATATAGCAAGTCCAGGGTAAATTTTCATACCGATAAGTAATCCAATTATTAACAGTAACAAAACAACCCGTTTTTAAAGGACGATCCATAGAGAGAGTAACTTTTGCTCTAATGTAATTTTGAACAACTGAAATGGATGGAGTAGGACCTAGATGTTCAAATAAAGGACGACCTACATCAATTGATAGTGTCTCAAAAGTTATTGCCAACGAATCATCAATACCTTTGATTTTCTGGTTATATTCAGATATTGAGCTACCCCTGATATTTTAATCCCTTTGAATTTTTTATTTTTGCAATAAAGACCATATTTTTTTCGATGAAAAATAAAGACCACCTTGTATTTCTAGATTTTTAACATTTTACATCTTAACATTTTTTTATCCCACTCCATGTTATGTTTTTTATTTTTTTTGGCGAGAAAATGACTTCTTTTTCTTTCTCTTTTTATATTGTGGGATTAAGGGGGAAGGGGGGGTGTATGTGAGGTTTACTGACCTTACCAGCTACCACTGACTGCCCATAGCCCCTAGGAGATAGTCTATTGAATCTTTAATGGATAATTTGGTAATTTTATTTTCACTACTGACGGTAGTCTTAACTGTGCCAACCAATCAAGGGGCAAAGTGATGGAGTCTAAAAATTACAAAAAAAGGGTAAATGATAAAAGCCCTCATATTATCGGGTGAGTTACAAAAATCTCTTGTATTTTGATTTGTGATAAAGACCCCTTGAACTTTAGCTATTAGATAAAGATCCCTTCTGTTATCGTTCCATCAATTAATTTAAAAAAAAATCATTTAACTGTTTACATGTTTTTAAATCCCTAAATTATTCTTTCTATTTATTTGAATGGTGAAAAGACAATCATGAATTCTAGTGACCACAACCATGATTAATTTATTCAATCCTATTCTTCTATTGGTGTGGGTAATCAATGATGAATGTTTAGGATAAGTGGTGATCGAGATAAATGTGGAAACAAGGGGAGAGGAAAACATGGTAATTGGTGAGTAAAGTGAATACGAAGATTAGATTAGGTTAAGGTTTAAGAGAAAATGACAATCAAAAGAAAATTAAAAGAAAAGTTAATGCAAGTATTATTAGAAAAATCTACGATGCGGAAAAGATATAATATGGAAAGAGTTTTGATGAATTTTGATAAATAACACCTTCGTTTATGATTTCAGTTTATTGGTCAGTTATTTTTGTAATATCATATATTTTCCATATCATAGTCAAACCCTTTGATATTTAATACATTCCAATTTCATCATCCGACTAACGGGCAGGAGGTATTTGTTAGAGGGTGTTTGTCGCAAAGACCCCATAATATAAGGGGCTCTTGAGAGAGAATTAAATATTAGAGTTTTTATAGGTCAGTAGTCCACCTCTAGAAATTTAGAGAGAATTAAATATTTCAGGCTACACGGCCTCAGCCCACAAACATCAATATTATCGAACACAAAAAGAACAGCAGAAAATTGAAAAACTTTCTCACTCAAATCTCCGCATATCACCGTTTCTCTCTCGCTGTCTCTGCTCTCCGAGAGTTCGTAAACGATGACCGCTCTTGCAAATGCATTTCTTCCTACAAAGAATCCTCTAATCCAGCTATCATCAGGTAATTGCTCTCTTAACAAGTTTATAATACTTTTCATCTCATAAATTTCTTTTTTTTCCTCTTTGTGATCTTCTTTGATAATCTATTATAATTTACTTTGATCTTGTAATTCTGTAATCTCTTCATATTTGGTTCTTTTTTGGTTTGTTGCTTGGTTTTACCTATTTTCTGCATTCTGCAATTTATGGTGCTCTGGCTGACTTGGCCTTTTCTTTTTCCCTTTACATAGTCCAAATTTAATTTCTGGAATATAATAGAAAAATTAGGAGATGGCTCTGGTAATCTCTACGGACTACGATTAAAATCCAGAAACCGCACGCAGTTAATTAGTTCGTGTCCAGCAAGTAACTTTTGAATGTTAACTGGGTTTGTATTATCTTTCATAAGAACGGGACTCGGAATTAGTCAAAGGGATCCTTAAATAGTGCAATTCTGTAGTGCCCTGTGATAAGCGGGTGTATTCTGCTTACCTAGATTGTATATCCCACGGTGTCTCTAATCTCCAACTATGCTTTTGTCATTAAATTTGGTAATTATTTAGGCAGCACTGAATTTGTTTTCTATACCCATACTGAAACAATTTTTGTTGATCCTCGAAGCTGGTGTAGTAGATCAGTTTAGAGTTCTATTAGATGGTTGAAGTACTGAGGATGATGCTTGGAGATTAATGTGATACGAAAGGGCTAATGATGACTGGTGCACATCCTAAGTACCAAAAAGAATCTTGAAACGGGCTATATCTACTTCAGTTCTGCCTCCATTTACCTCAACGAGATCACTGTAAATACAAAGTAAAACGAATAACACCTACGCTTATTATATGCTTAACTTGAGAGGTGTACATGGACTTTGATGTCATTCTCATTTCTCTCCTATTTTTTTTTTTTTTTTTTAATATTGTTAATTGTTATTATCTCTAGTTCTGTGGTCTAATGTGATTAGTGATCTTTTTACAATAAATTCCTAACACTAATTAGAATGCACCAATTCTGAAATTTTGAGTGGGGAAATTTGTGAGTAGAAACACATATGTTGGAGCATTTGACCATTCATATGCTTCCACTTAATCTTTTAACTGCATGGAATATTGTTTCATGTGATTATGAATGCCCCATATTGATTGCCATGATTCTTGTTTGTTATAGGTTAACTTAGACTGTCTGAACTTTTCATATCCTCTGTTAGGTTCTTCCTTGAAGCCGGTGGACATGTCTCTTGTGAACATTGGCCCCAGCAATTTGTCTTTCAGTTTGATTCACCAGAGGAAAGCAAAACTTTCCACTAATAGGTCACTTTCAGTTCAAGCAGGGTACAGGTAATACCTACTTATCAAGTGGAGTCACAACCTTACTAATTAGATGTTTGAATTTTTTGGTTTTATCAAAGATCTCACTCTTAGATTGTGTGCATTAATCTGAGAATTGCACTGGTGGTTCATCCCTTCTACATGTACCTTTTTCAAGTCATTTAATCTCTTCCACCTTATTTGATAATGAAATGATCACCTCTTATATAACCATTTATCCATACAAAGTATATATTGGTCTTATTGAATTGAATATGAGTTATACATTATTCTTTTGGATTTTGGATGTGACAGTGTCATTTAATATCCCAAAATAAATGGAAAGTTGGAGAGTTGAGAAAACATGAAATTTGTCATGTTTAAGTTTAGCATTCCAAATTTGTATATCGTGTGGTGGGTATGTGGTACTAATCTATGCATGTAATCAATTCTTTAGAGATATTATTCACATTACTTTGTAAGCTTGGAGATGAAGTAGTCTTTTTTCTTAGAATGAATCATATTTCGTGGTTTAAAGTTAGGCTGAGTATATTAATATTCAAGAAGATTTATTACTGACTAATTGGCAAAAAATTGAAAATTGTCTCATGTTCATAGAAAAGAGATGCCTGTATATGGCTGATGAAAAACAATTCTTGTAAGTATTGTTTTTTCAGTTAAGTTTGACATTTGTATTTCTTTCATGAGCATTATATGTTAACTTGGAAGGTTCTAAAATCTATTTAACATTCCCTGTAATTCCTCCTTTCTCACACATTACCCGTTGCGTTTATGAAACCATGCTGCATGTTTTATTGGTTTTATTATTGTTGAGTTTTTGCTTTAACAATACAGTGTCTAAATAGTGTTATTTCAGTCTTCTCCGTGAAAGTCTTCAATATCCCCACCCATCACAAAAATGAACAAAACACAGAGGCACAAACTGCTATCACCCATATTTGTTTCTTACTTCACAAGCATAGTAAACTACATCATTTTTAATTATGGTTTGTTGTCCTTTTGTCAACTGCAGTGGGGATGCTGGAAAACAAAGCAGTTCAAGTATCTTTATTGGTGGCTTTATATTTGGAGGGATAGTGGTTGGAGCACTAGGTTGTGTATTTGCACCTCAGGTATTAATTTGGGCTATAAGTTCATATAATTCATCTGAATTTATTGCTGTGTTGCCATTAATTTAGATTTTCTAGTACATTGATCACATACTGGGTGGACCTCATGCCAATATTCTATAATTTGGCAGCTTGACAGGGGTAGTATGTACTTGCAAACTTAGTGCTAAAGTGGCCCTTTTTGTTCTGTATGATCAGATAGTCCTGATCAGTAAAGGCTTGTGATATGTCCCGAAAATCTCACACACAATTCACAGGCACTCAGTGAAAATACACAGCTCAAATGAAAAGAAACTTGTATTCATTCAATGGAGAGTAATAACAGTGGTCGGTTCTTCGAGAGACCGCCGGCTCTCCCAAAACACTCAAAA